TTTTCCTGAGTATGTGTTTATCCTTTTCATGTAAACATTAGAATCAGCTTGTCTAGTTCCATTAAAAAAAAAAAAAAAAGTTGGATTTGTACCTGGAACCAAGTGAAACTGAAGTCTCCGGTCTTCTGCAGTCAAGTTCAATGTTCTTCCACACTCACCACCTCCCAGCTCTGTTTTACTTCTTACTGCATTAGGAGGCATTCTGAGAAAGGAAGAGGTTGTTCTGAATATTGCTATCAAATAAGGCTTTTTTAAAATTGACCATTCTTGGAATTTTGTTCCATAGGGAATATTTGATAGGGCTTTAATTCTTACTTGTTTGTAGTTCAAGTCATAAGAGGTTCTTTTAAAAAGGAAAGAAAAAATAACTCTGTGAAATGTGCTAAAGTGTTTGCACTTGCTATTTTGCTTTGTTTTGTAACCTTTGGTACAAGAGTTGGCATTTGTCAAAGCTGAAAATGTTGGCTTCTGCTCTGCAAGAGATTTGTAGCTCCCATTCTTAATGTGGGCGGTACCTGCCGGTACTCACCTGCCACCACACTCGGCATGACTGTTTTCTACTGTGAGACATTTTCCATGTCCTTTTAAAAGAATTTTAATACGTAAGGGCAGGAAAACAAGGTGAACTACATGAATTCAGTGAACGACATGAGCTGGGCTCACTCCGGTGCCTCAGCACTTTTATTGTTGTTGTAAAGTTTGTTTTTCCTGGTCCCGGGTATCTGAGAGAAGTCAGCCTTCTCAAGCAAACCAATTATTGATTAATTATATATAAGAATTAAATTAGCCTTTTGTGTGTCTTCTGCCTATTATTAATAAACTTTTTATTTTGAAGGCTGGGTGCGGTGACTCATGCCTGTAATCCCAGCATTTTGGAGGCCAAGGCGGGTGGATCACCTGAGGTCAGGAGTTCGAGACCAGCCTAGTCAACATGGTGAAACCCCTTCTCTACTAAAAACACAAAAGTTAGCCGGGCATGGTGGCGTGTCCCTGTAATTCCAGCTACTTGGGAGGCTGGGGCAGGCAGCTTGAACCTGAGAGGTAGAGGTTGCAGTGAGCCAAGATAGTGCCACTGCACTCCAGCCTGGGCGAGCCAGACTGTCAAAAAAAAAAAAACATTAAAAATTAAAAAAACTTTTTGTTTTGAGATAATATGGATTCACATGTAGTTGTAAGAAATAATACTTACATGAACATAAGCCTTCATTTCTCTGGGATAAATGCCCAGCAGTACAATTGCTGAGTCATGTGGTAGTTGCATGTTTTATTTTCAGGAAACTGCCAAACTACTTTCCGGAGTATCTATCCCATTTCACATGTCTGCCAGCAGTCTCCGAGAGAGCCGTCTTCTCCACAGCCTCCTTTTCACTTGGGGCTGTCACTATTTTTAAAGCGACCCTATGCTTAATAGCCCTTCTCAGAGGCGTGCAGCGGAGTTATCTCACTGTAGTTCTCAGTTGCATTCCCTGGTGACTCATGATCCTGAGCATCCTTTCATGAGTTTATTTCCCATCTGTACATCCTCTTCATGTCTTTTGCCCATTTTCTAATTGGACTGTTTGTTTATTTTACTGTTGAGCTTTGATAATTTCTTATATATTCTGTTTGTTGGATATGTGTTTTTCAAATATTTTCTCCTAGTCTGTAGCTTGTTTTTTCATCTTTTTAACAGGGACGTTTGCAGAGAAAAAGTTTTCAACTTCCAGTTTGTCAGTTGTTTCTTTTGTGGATTGTGCTTTTGCTGTGAAGTCTAAAAACTCTTTGCCTAGCCCTAGATCCTGAGGATTTTCTCCTATGACTTTCTAAAAGTTTCATAGATTTATGTTTTGCATGTAAGCCCATAATCTATTTTGAGTTAAGTTTTGACTGAGATAGGAGACCTGAATTGAGGTTAATTTTTTTGGATCTCTAGTTGCCCCAATAAGGCCGTGCCTCCTTCCTGGAATTGCTTTTGCACCCTTGTCCAAAATCAGTTCGACATATTTGTGTGGTCTATTGGGGATTCTCTGTGCTATCCTCTTGTGATCTGCTCGTCTGCCTCTTGCCAACACTGTACTGTCTTGATGACTGTAGCTTTGTAATAAATGCTGAGATCACCTAGACTGATTGCTCCCACTTTATTCTTTTTGATGGTGGCTACTTTAAAGTCTTTCTAAGAGAATTCTAACATCTGTGTCATCTCCCTATTGGCATCTGTTGATTGTCTTTTTTCATTTAGTTTGATATCTTCTGTTTCTCGGTGTGACAAGTGATTTTTTATTGGAACCTGTTTATATGATATTATGAGACTCTAAATCTTACTCAAGCCTTCTGTTTTAGCTGACTTTCTCATACACCATGGTGTCAGAGGAAGCAGGGATGCTGTCTCATTACTGCTGGATAGGGGATAAGTCCAAGTTCTCCACTGGGGCTCCCGGATACCTCCCCGTTGTGAGAGGGCCTCATCACTGCTCCATTTGGAGCCTGCACTGACAGCACGGGCTAGCGTTGTTTCCACCAGCTGGGAAGAGAGTCCAGGTTCCCCACACAGTTTTCCATGACTCTGCATTGTGGTGTGGGAAGGGAAGGGGTTGTTAGAGCCTGGTGGGAATGAAAATTGTGGCTTGTCACTCAGCTTTGTCAGACACCACCCAACAAGGGGACTCTGGATTGTCCTTACAGCCTGGCACGGGGGCGATGTGGTTGAGGTTTTCTCTCTGGTGTTTGCCTGGAATCAAGCAATTCTTGTCTAAAAAGTTTTCTGTCTTGCTGGGCTACCTCTTTCCTGGTCCTTTGGCCAGAGAGAGCAGCTTTTGTTGCGGCTTTTTATGTGTTTTGTTTTTGCCAATGCCTGTTGATGTTTCTGGGTTCTGGCTTCTTCAGCTCTATGTTGAGAAAATGAAGCAAAAGGAAAATGCAGGGTCGCTTTTCAGGTCCTGAGGCCCCCTGGCTTGTCAGCTTTCTCTGAATCTCTCAGTCTTTTTATGTGTGTTTTATGTATAATATCCAGGATTCTTATTTGTATTTGATGGGGGGAAAAAGGAGAACTCCGCCTTCCCACTGAGGACATTCCTTTGCCTATTTAAAACGAGTTTCAGCCAATAAGAACAGAGCTATTTGGACAGGCTTATTTGTTGTTCCTCCAGTTTATAGTTTAGGCTTCTGAGAAGCGCCTTGCCATCACTTTGCCTGCATAACCTCAGTGCCTTCACACACACCACCTGTTTTCCCGTCTTCATGATATGCTCAGCCAGACCTCTCGTCTGAAGCTCAGTTTAATGAGCATGTCCCCAGTTTTCTGGCCTGATCCCTCCAGCCAGGAGGCTCCTGGGAGCACCCACAGCCTACTGAGGGCATCTGCCCTGCCTGCAAGACAGGGCTCTTGCCCTCTGTGCCTACATCTCACTTCCCATTCTAGACCTTAACCCAATCACTTTTTATCAGTCCTTCCATAATGAAAATATTAAAACATATACAAATACACAGTTGTATCAAGAACTCTGCATGCCCATCAGCCACATCAGTAATTACCAACCAGGGCCCTTTGGTTGGTTTTGTCTACACCTCATCTCTGTTTTTCACGCCACACTGAATTATTTTGAAGTAAATTCTAGATATTGTCCTTTTATTTGTAAATACTTCAGTATATGTCACTAAAAGAGAATTACCATTTCTACACCTAAAATAATGTATCATAATTCCTTAATATAATCAGCTATTCAGGCAATATTTACATTTAAGTTTCTCAGAATCCGATTTAGATTCTTGTGCACGTAATTGATTCTCAGAAAATATATCTTGAAATAATTAATGACTATAAAATAATAATGCTTTTAAAACTATCTGGCAAACTTTCCTGAATAAAGGATTCTAAAGAGAAACTGATTTAACTTTTAGCAACATATTTGCCTGAAATATAGTGAGATTGAAAGTTATTAACAAATGATTTTATGAAAAACTATATATCTAAAATAAATACTTTCAGATATTTGATATAGAGATATAAGATATATGCATGTTTTAGTACATTTTAGTCACCATTTTCTAAGAGCAATGAGTTTGCCTTTTAGTGATTTATAAGTTTTATTTGTATACAAAGTAATGTGATTATAAAATTTGCGAATCCTCTTTTTCCTCAATTGCAATTTGAGGATATTCTTTATTATAGATCATGTATTAATACAGTCTAACAAAGTATATCTAAAATATTTAAGAAAAGGAAATTCCTAAATTTGTTAGTAACCAGAAATTGTGATACTTGTTCTTTGAGGATTTCCTGTGTTTTCTCCTGCCAACAAAATAGTACTTTTATGTAGCTAAGAAATTAGATTGAATTTTAACAGTCATATGCACTTTAGTTTTGTCTGCATGAGGAGCTATTCAAGGTGAGAGAGAAGTAGTTTAGAGAGAAGCTGTGGGTGCTGGTTCTGCGGTGTGGCTTTAGTTTACAGCTGGAAGCCAAAAGTCTATCCAGAGTAATGATAGATGGCAAGTATGTAAGCGCCCTTCTGAGGTTTGTCGCCATCTGTCGTGGCGTGTTGTGTCCTTAGGCCATCCCGCAGCAGATGTCTTTCCAGGGTGCAGATGCCAGTGCCTTTGTCCCTAGTTCAGCGCTCTTCATGGCCCTCCATTGCCCGGAATCAAACCCACCCTCCTCAGAGTGGTGTGAGGTCCCTGGGCACTGGCCCTGAACCTCCCTTGCTGGGACCTGGTCCCACCCTCATCATCCCTCCATTTGGGAGAGTCCACGGGAGAAGTCCTTTGCTGGACTGGAATCCACACGAGAAGTCGTTTGCTGGACTGGAATTCACGTGAGAAGTCCTTTGCTGGACTGGAATGTGCCAAGGAGGAGTATTTTTTACCAGATGGCAGATCTGACTTCTCTAACAAGACCTAGTTCTTATTTTATGATTTTTTTCCTTTAATTTGTAATAATATTGTAATTATTTCCTTAGAGTAGACTTACTTCACATTACTCATATCATCGGCACACTAAATGCTATTTTCTTACTGTCTTTCAGACAGAAACAGTCTCCGCCAGTCAAGAAACCCTCAAAAGTATTTTGCCATGGATATAGAAGATGAAGAAAACATGAGTAAGATCTAGGCCTATCACGTAGTATCAGATAGCTAATTTTATGTTAACATTTTGGTGTTTTTGCAAATATATTTCATGAGACCAATGTGGGGAATTGTGTTTTTTCCCGTAACATGTTCTACTGACAGTGGCATGTTTTTAATTTTTGGTGTGTTCTCTGCAACAGGTGTCAGAATTTGCTGTAGACGTTTTCCCTGCAGCGGTATGTCTAGGTTTTTCCTTCCTCGTTATCGTCATGGGGCATCACTGTGACGATGGAATGGGCTTCTGGGCACATCTCATGAAGCCCCACTGTTTCGTGTGGAGTCCTGTCACGGCACGCCTCTTAGAATAATGCTCTGAGTATTCATGCATGCAAATCGAAGATAAATGTCTGAGATTGATTTAAATACCCAGTCCTTTGCAATAATAGTACAGAAATATTTCCCTTCAAAATGCAGGTTCTCCCTGCATTTTGAAGGAAGGGGGTTCACACGTGTCTGTTGATCTGAAGTTCGCAAAGGTGCTAATGAAAGCTGGGACTGGTGTGGGCCTTCTCCTTCCATGCTGTTCTCTCTGGGGTGGGTGGGTGGAAAGCCACTGGGGTACGTCAGTGTTTCCTCTGTGTTTTCTTCTATAAGAAGCTCGTTGAAGGTACTTATCTCTTCTAGTTCATCTTCAGTCTCAGAAAACAGATTTAAATGCTTTCACAGAAGTTGGGAGAGTTTAGTAGAGAAATTACAACAAAGGCATCATTGCTCTAACTAATATAACTATCCGTATTTACCTTCTTACTTGTCTTAAGGAATAACATGCAGCTATCAATGATGAGTGACATGTCACTGGGAGTGATTATTGAGCATTAGAACTTGGCTCAGCACTTTCCCTTTGACTTCACGCAAAACTGATGATCTGGGGTCTTGGAATCGCTCTCGTGTACCGTGTAGAACCCAAACTGTGACCCAGCGAAACATTTCTGCGTGGTAGTGCTGCCCCGTGGGTGTGCTGTGGATGCTGTGGAGGGGGCTGGGCCTCTGCTCTATGGACTGTACGCTAAGTGTTGGCTTTGGTTGAAGTCAGCCGTCTGGGGTGTGAGGGTGAGACCACTTCCTGCAGCGCTACCTGGCTCCCACGGGACCGGTGTGCTCACCTCACTTCTGCTGATGTGTGCGCAGCCCGTGGCTGCTGGTGATTGTTTTTTCAGGTTTTTTTCCTCATCAGTCCTGCTCTTGAGATCTTTTAAAAACCCAGCTTTATGTTTTTACTGGGCAGTTCTACTCACTGTTTCCAATTTTGCCACAAGCTTTAAGAGAGAGGTTACGTCCATACTCCTCATTTGAGAAAATGTGACCTGTGCTTGGCCCGTGCAGTAGCCCACCGACAGAGCGTGTGCAGGGGTCCCCAGGGCCTCTGTGTCAGGACTGTGGCCTACAGCCTGCAGCTGCAGTCACCTCGCATGGACAGAGGCTTCATGATCGTGTAGGTTCTGGAACTCTCCCAAAACTGATCCTGTGATAACTTGACATGATAAACAATCCTCCCGAATAATTTTTCTGTAAAGATAAGCTGATGTTCTACTGCTGAAGCTTGGAAATTCTGGTTCTGTATTTTTTTTTTTAATCATTTTGAAAGCAATGCAAAGCCCTATCATGATCAGTTATGTACATTTATGAAATGTAGTAGCATGATACAGAGAGAGAAGGCATCTGTTTAAGAAAAGCTGTGAAAGTGGCATCTTTTTCTGGTTTTAGTATTTTCCTTTATTATAATAGCATTTTCAATGACAATGAGAAAGTATTTCAGTGTGCTCCTGAAGTGAGTAAGAGTTTAGAATGTTTGTAATCTGTTACAGAAGTATATTCTTCTCAAAATTATTTGTCAATCCAATAGTAATTATTTTTATTTCTGAAAGAAAAGTATTTGGTTATTTCAGAGGTTATAAATATTTGGTTAAATGCCTGTCTAAATACATTTATAATGATTTGATTTTTGATATTGATAATTGTTTAGCAACAAAGTCAAAATGTAAGCAGTAATCTAGTATGTCATGTTCTTGCTCAGTTTATTAATCTCTGACTTCCATCTTGGCTCTACTTTTTTTTAACCTTTTTTTCCCTTTGAGCACCGAAAGGAGTAACCTATCGAGCTTTTGCTGGAGGATGTTATAAATGAAAATTTAATGTCCATTCCATCAGCTTTGTCAACTGGGAGAAGTGGTGTGTGTGTGAGGATTATTTTGGAGAAATGATGTCTGTAGAGAAAGTTTTAAATTTCTTAGCCTCTGCCACAGTGTGGCATCAGTTTTCCCACGGGTTGTGTCTAAACCAGGTTTATGCTCTGCTGTCTTGGCTGAATGATGCCAGCCCTGGAATTAGAGATCTTTAACCTCAAAGATTGGCAGCCAAGGGCAAGGACTTGGTCCCTTTCAACCTTCCCATGGATGAAGCTGATGAACATTTTCACAACTTTTCAGTTTGCTTAACATAATGAGAATCTACCTTTACACATGTAGTAGAAATAGACCCTAAAGCCACCATATGGGGCACGTGTAAATTGGTTTACAATTTTAGCAATATTTTGGTTACTTAATATAGATTTTTTAAATCTGGTGGTAGATGTCTGTAACTTTCATTCACATTACAACCTTGCAGGGCACTGTAGCCCTCACCCCTGGGCTCCATGTGACAGCTGCCTAGCCATGATGGAAAGGAATTATTTCTTCTTCTATTTTTTAAAAAGCTCAATGAACACTTTTTACTCTAATTTTAAAATAAAAAATTAGGGCCGGGCACGCTGGCTCATGCCTGTAATCCCAGCACTTTGGGAGGCCAAGGCGGGCAGATCACCTGAGGTCGGGAGTTCAAGACCAACCTGGCCAACATGATGAAACCCCATCTCTACTAAAAATACAAAAATCAGCCAGGCATGGCAGTGCAAGCCTGTAGTCCCAGCTACTCAGGAGGCTGAGGCAGGAGAATCACTTGAACCCGGGAGGTGGAGGTTGCAGTGAACTGAGATCACGCCACTGCACTCCAGCCTCGCCAATAGACTGAGACTCTGTCTCAAAAATAAACAAATAAATAAATAAAATTTAAAAATTATGTTTATTTTGCCATGTAATTTTAGAATTCTAAAATTATCTGTATTAATTTGAAATCTAAAATACTTTTAAAAGTTAGGATAAACAAATTTTTCTGGAAATTCATCAAATAATTGTCTTAAAAAAGACAAAATCACCAGAAAGTGTATTTATGAAGTTAGGAAGTTGTAGCCTGCCTACAGCTTCAGTTTTGTGTCTTGTTCTTACACACTTTCTATCATGGAGTGGTATTAAGGATTCAGACTTAATCAGCCCCCATATATAATGTTCTCATTTTCAAATAGATGCTAGAAATAAAACCATACCCTCCAAACACAACAACTAAAAAGCCGTAATACTTTGCACAATTACATAAGCAGCTTTTAAAGATTGGTTCATAAACTAAATCAAATAATTGCATTTATTGATTGAATATTTTAAACCTGAAAAACTAATTATCTGTGGATGCAAGTTTTTAAAATAGTTTTCTCTTCTGAGAGACACTGCAATTTAAAACCCATAGATAAAATGAGGGTAAACAACAGTGAAAGGAAAATGCTAAAATAAATATACATTAATCCATATATTGATATTAAATTGTCATTTCATTATAAAGACCTTTTTAATATGTAAGGTCTTTCTGGATTAATTTATCATCCCACATTTTGATAAGGTTGAAAAAGTCTAGATACTTCAGAATATTCTCAGAAAAAAAAATTATTTAAAGATTTTACTTTTTAAAGCAAAAGCAGTTGGTGACACTGAATAGAAATGGTATTAGTCACTGAGCAAAGTATCAAATTACTTGTTTAGTTGAGGCTGATAGTTCTTTAAATGTCTAACTCTTCATGTATACATCAAGGAATAAAATTGATAAGCACACATCACTTAACCAGTTACAAAGAGAGCTAAAGGAATCTATAAATTTTGCATTTACAAGATCCTGCAACGAAGGCATTGTAAGTTACTCTTTCTGGGCACCACAGGTTCCAGCAGCACTGATGTGAAGGAAAACCGCAATCTGGACAACGTGTCCCCCAAAGATGGCAGCACCCCTGGGCCTGGCGAGGGCTCTCAGCTCTCCAATGGGGGTGGTGGTGGCCCCGGCAGAAAGCGGTCCCTGGAGGAGGGCAGCAATGGCCACTCCAAGTACCGCCTGAAGAAAAGGAGGAGAACACCAGGGCCCGTCCTTCCCAAGAACGCCCTGATGCAGCTGAATGAGATCAAGCCTGGTTTGCAGTACACGCTCCTGTCCCAGACTGGGCCCGTGCACGCGCCTTTGTTTGTCATGTCTGTGGAGGTGAATGGCCAGGTTTTTGAGGGCTCTGGTCCCACAAAGAAAAAGGCCAAACTCCATGCTGCTGAGAAGGCCTTGAGATCTTTCGTTCAGTTTCCTAATGCCTCTGAGGCCCACCTGGCCATGGGGAGGACCCTGTCTGTCAACACGGACTTCACATCTGACCAGGCCGACTTCCCTGACACGCTCTTCAATGGTTTTGAAACTCCTGACAAGGCGGAGCCTCCCTTTTACGTGGGCTCCAACGGGGATGACTCCTTCAGTTCCAGCGGGGACCTCAGCTTGTCGGCCTCCCCGGTGCCTGCCAGCCTAGCCCAGCCTCCTCTCCCTGTCTTACCACCATTCCCACCCCCGAGTGGGAAGAATCCCGTGATGATCTTGAACGAACTGCGCCCAGGACTCAAGTATGACTTCCTCTCCGAGAGTGGGGAGAGCCATGCCAAGAGCTTCGTCATGTCTGTGGTCGTGGATGGTCAGTTCTTTGAAGGCTCGGGGAGAAACAAGAAGCTTGCCAAGGCCCGGGCTGCACAGTCTGCCCTGGCCACCATTTTTAACTTGCACTTGGATCAGACGCCATCTCGCCAGCCTATTCCCAGTGAGGGTCTTCAGCTGCATTTACCGCAGGTGAGGAACAGTGCTGCTGCTTTAAAACACAGGGTCATTGCTCTTGGTAATGCTTCTAGACAACATTTTAGTTTTAGGATTACTATTGACTTTCCCCCTTGACATCACTCTGTCCCCATCAGGAGGAGTTACTGGTAAGTCTGGCTGCTGGGGCAGCCTTTCCTTGATTCCCATGGCCATGTGGCCACTGAGAAGCCATCTGCATCCTAGCGCTTGCTGGGCCCGTCGCAATGCAAGGCAGGGACACCTGAGGCCCCGTCCACCAGGGCAGTGTTTACAACACTATCCATAACTCTCTTCCCATTAGGCAACCCCCCCACCAACCGATGACCCTCATCCCACAGCAAGTCTTTAGCAGGAGAGAGGGAATAAGAGCCCAGTCTTTGAAACCTTGCCCCCAGTTCAGCACCATTTTCCTTCAAAGGTCTCATCCAGGAATCTCACATTCAAGATAAGTGACACTAGCCCGTCAGCAGCTGAAAACCCAAGTCTGAGTCAGGATGGCAGCCTCTGGGCTCCCACATGACTGACTGGTGGCTGTTCGCTGTCCCTCAGCCAAGGAGCCCCTCGAAGCAGAGAATGAGGCAGCACAGCAGTGAGCACCTATCAGAGGGCAGGGAGGGAGGGGCCTCCAACAACTGTTCTAGGGCCTGCCAGTTGTCTGGGAGTCTCTACTTTGAATTTCCTGCATGGGCTTTATGAGGACTTCCCCGCTTGCCCAGGCTGAAGGTGGGCAGCCACTCTTCCATTTGACCTTCCCCTGCTCCCCCAGCCTAATGAAATCAGGATGAAGGAAGGGGAAGTTCCAGGGTGAGCTCAGATTGGCTTACATGAAAAAGAAAAAGTAAAGGAGAAAATCGCCTTTAGTTCTCATCTCTAAATCCTAAAACTCTCTGATTATGTGTTGCTTCTTTTCTTGGAAATCCAAAATTCTTCTGGTCTATTGCAAAAATTATTCTTTTGACCCTCTATTCATTTATTCCTTTGTATCAGAGTCTTCTTCACTTCGAAGATAACATGTATACTGCCCTTGACCAGAAGACTTGAAGGTGACTTGTATTCCCCTGGAAGAATCCAAGTGTCTTATAGTTTCTTTTTTGCTGTTGTCTACAATTAGAATAACCTCTGTGCAGTTGTAGTCTGAGATGACCCGGAGTTCTGTTTTAAAGGAAGGAAATGTATTTTATTTTGCCTAAAGGAACCAAATACAACATCAGTATAAAATAATATATTCAAGGTATTTCACTGATTTTTTTAACAAACCAAATACTTGCTTCCCTTATTAACCTCTCATCAACATTGTTCATAAGGATTATTAGTCCATTTGTACTTTAACAAATCAGTGGTGCTAGATCCCATGTGATTTTTTATTTTCAGGATTACTCTTTGCTAAAATATTAAAGCCTGAGTTCAAAATATTGTCTCATGTGACTTGTCTTCCCTTAATATTGACAGAGTGGCATATAAAACCATTGAAATGACATCAAATGCCGTGGATCCCAGATGTCTGAGCCTTTAGTATGTAGGCTGTGAGCACCTTAGGCGGACGCAGATAGAAGCCCCAGTATAGACGTCAGCCCTGCCTCCCTGGCTTGGCGGTGTGCCTGCAGTGACTTCTGTGTGGAGCAGGACCAGAGCCCCTGGCGTGGGAAGGCTGGAGGGGCATCTGTCGGTCTCCAGCCTGGGGAGGGGTGCAGGTGGGCAGGGCCATCTCAGCCCCCTGATGCCATGTTCCCCTGGGCTCTAGGCCTCATGTCCAGAACCACTAGGGCATGAGAGGATGGAGCTGCACTTCTAGTCTCTGCCAGGGGACCCTGCCACCTTGTGTCTTCAGAGCCCCCAGGGTAGCCCAGGAATGTGACATACGCTCCTTGCAGGACCCAGGTGGCCTCTCAGAACCCATCCTTTGGGCTTTGTTGCTGGGCTCTATTGTCTTCTGACAGGAAATTTCAAAATGTGCATTCTAGGGTGGGTGGGAAACCCTCACTCTTTTTCTAGAGTAATCCTTGAAGGACGTAGGTCAGATATCCCTGCGTGCCATTGCAGGTAAATGGTGCTGCCTGGGACTGTGTGGCATGGGTTTAACTCTTAAAAGCATGTTTCTTTTATTCTTATATCTGTCCCCCAAATTAAGAGGGAAGTCCTTCATTAACCATGCAGGGTGAGACCAGTAATCCCCTCAAGGGGAGGGGGCTGAGCCCTGGCCATGTGCCTCGGATGCCGGCGCTCACCAGCTTCAGCCCCAGCACCAGACCTTCCACTCAAGGATCTCGGAGCTCACTCTGAAGTTAGATTTCTTCGCCTCTCTTCGAAAATTTGGAGATTTGCCTATTCTTATATGAAATGGAAACTTTTATTTCCTCTGGCTTATCCCTAATCTTCTTATGGCTTTTTCTCTCTCTAAATTCGAATGAATCACCCTTTCCCTCTGGCACCCTGGCCAATTCGAATGCGTTACCCCTTCCCTCTGGCACCCTGGCCTCGTCCTGTGTTTCTGTCACAGCCTCAGTTCCCCGCATCCGCTCACCCCTGCATTGCGGATGCCGCTGCCTGCGGGTGCATGGATCCCTGCCACCAAAGCCATTCTCCACATGACTTGTCTTGAACACTGTCCTGTGGGGCTCACTGATATTTGCTGGTGCAATGATAAGAGGAAAACACCCTGACAACTATCTTTTCTATTCATTTCAGAAATATTTTATTAAGGACCACCTGGGGATGCTGGGTTTTCCTAGTGGTCATTTGATTTTCCAGACAAGTGTGAAATTGGTGGGACATGAGTTGAAACTGGCTCTTAACACCGACCTCCCAGCAGACATCGTTTCCCAAAATGCCACGGGCTCATTATATCCTAGATAAATCATAAGCCATAAGACCATGTCCAAAATGCAACAAATATGTCTGTTCTCAGAAGCACCTTAAAACAGGTGTCTGGCTGACCTGAACATATACCTGTTCAGGTGTTCCGGACGTCTAAGCGCTTTCCCTCCCTGCGCTGTCCTCTGGTACATGATTCTATCGTGCCGTCTGGGCGAGTGAGCGCAGCCAGAGCGCGTTTGTGTGGAGAGGCTGGAGTGACTGAGAACCTCTCGGTGGCGCCTTTGAGGGAGGTGCTGTGCACAGCCTATGGCTTCTTTCCCTGGACCGCATCTCCAAGCTGCTCCTTTCTCTTGCCTGTGATTTTGCACATCACCCTGGGCTGTGCTCCCAGCTATGTGTGACCTGGAGCTGACTGAGCCACACCGTGTGTGCACGTGAGAGAGGGCAAGGGGGGTGGGAGGGCCATACTAGGTGGGTGTAGGCGTGAGCAGGTGGCCCTGAGCAGGCAGTTTTGCCTCTGTTTGCCTCAGTTTCCTCCTGAGGGCTGGGCTGGCCTGCGGTGAGGATTGGAGGGATGCTCGTATGTGGTGCCCACACTCCACACTGGCCCCATGCGGGTGGCAAAGGACTCAGCCAGAGCCTGGCAGGATCCTGGGGTGTCTATTTCCAAGGAATGTTCTGGAAGAAACATACACACATACTTGTTTGTCAGATTTACCTGTGTGGTTTTCCAAATGAGAAGCAGCCTGTGTCACTCCATAAGGGAGAGTGCGTGCAGCATTCAGAGAGTGAGCCCTGCTCCCAGCTGCACCTGGCCCCTAACCTGCGTCTGTGCTTCCCACACAGGTTTTAGCTGACGCTGTCTCACGCCTGGTCCTGGGTAAGTTTGGTGACCTGACCGACAACTTCTCCTCCCCTCACGCTCGCAGAAAAGTGCTGGCTGGAGTCGTCATGACAACAGGTAACCATCTTGGTGTTGTATGTAACCCTGCCTGTTTTCATGTCTGACAAATGTGAAATGTTGTCGGTTGACAGAAACCACCGTGGCACACCAGCGGGAGATGGTTACTTCCTTTCTTCTTCAAAATGTCTGCCATATGCAAGTTTAGGAACTGCACATACAAGCTTTTTCCCCCAAATGTTCTTCTTTTTAACCTAAGTTTGTTGTATTTGGAGAAAGCATACTATCTGATTCCTGTCATCTTCGTCCTGTGAATGGCCTCAGTCTGCTCTGGAAGATGGCAGGGGGCTTACCAATTCTGGCTTTATTTGAAAGTAGTGCCTATCTGTTGTATCAGTTAATGTTAACGATGCCAGACAAGTTTCCGTGTGACTTCTTTTGAGGAGGGAGAAAGCTCTAGCAAGAGTAGAAAATCTGTGGGGGAAAAAAACACAATTTAGAATGATAGAAGAAATTCTGTTAAATTAGTCTAGAAGTTCCCAGTAGCAAAAGGAACCCCCGAATCCTCTTCCCACATCCCGGGAGTGAGAACACACAGCAGTGTGTCTCTGTGAGTAGCTCAGAGGAAGCCACAGCCTTGACCAGTGCCTGGCTCCCCAGGGTGGAGCAAGACTCAGGGAGAGGACCCCCATCATGTGGGGCCATCTCTGTGCCCAGCATCTGCTCAGCCCAGCCTGGACAGCCAGATGCAGGAAGTAGGCCCTAGAGGTAAGGGAGGAAGCTGGCGACGGTTTCTCTCTCTACATCTACCAGCCCAGGAGAAACCCCCCAGTTCTCAGTATGTGACTTTCTTGTCCTTTCCCCTGAGGGGTCACCTCTATCAGACTCTGCAGCCCTCTTCACTGACCCACCTCTTGCTGCCCTAGGAAACCTGGCTGTTCTGCTCATGACTTATTTCCTTGCTGTGCCGTGTCTGGGGAGGAGGAAGTACTCAAACAGCAGCTTCTGTTCTAATGTTTTGTACCTGTATTTTCTCCCCCTTTACCTCTCTCCTTACTGCTATCTTTTACATTAATCAAAGGTGAACACCACAACTACTGAATAGAGTAGTTCCCTAGGTAAGACTCCCTGCCTCTTCCAGCAGCCTGGGTGAGGGAGCTGGTCGTGTTCTTTCATTGTTTTTGTTGTTGTTGTTGTTGTTGTTGTTGTTGTTGTTTTTTAACCACCTTAGAAGAGGCCGATCACCTTCTGGGAACATTTTACGTCTTAGTGTGTATTTCACCGAGACCACTTGCTCAGAGCCATAGTTTACATCTGAAGCCAGGATGCTGGAGCACTTGGCACTCCAGACAGCTGATTCAGGGGCTCCTGCTGGTTGAGTGGCCTTGGGCAGGTTAGGAGGCCTCTGTGCCTCAGTTCCCTCATCTATACAGTGGAGACATTAGTAGCATGAGCCTCAGAGGACGTCGTGGGAATGCAGTGAGGACAATTTACCCAAAAGACCTGGTGCATACCTGCCACATGGTGGGCACACCATTGGTTCAGCTGTAGTGAATGCGAGTCTCCCAGCAGGTAACTTCCAGGGTCCCGGCATCACACCTGTGGTCAGCAGTTTATCTCACGCAGTTGAGACAGAGTGATATGTTTATGGGAGATCACCACTGCTTGTGATTTCACTCCCAGTATGGTTACATGGTGACAGTTTGCTAATGAAAACATCTCAAGTTAATTCTGTTTTCCTTCTTATTCCTCTGGGTGCTGTTGACCCCTCCTTCATATCCTCTTTAGTACTTCGATATTTGATGTCAAGATTAATTACCAGACCAGTGAGTCTACCTTTCCATAGTGTTGCCCAGATGTGTTCTAGTTGTGGGCATTCAAGAAAAGATGCTATTGCATACCAGAGGAAATTACTTCCTTGAGTTCAGTGTCTGTGCACTAAGCAGTGAGGATGGCTGGCTTTCCAGAAATGTCACAAAGTGAGTCCTCAATAGGAAGTTGTTTGCAGTGTATACATTTGCCCACTTAAAAAAGTAGGTGGTAAGAATATGCATGAAGATGAGCTTGAAAAGTCTGTTGGCCCCTGAAAAGGTAAGTCACTGAGAATAAGGGTCAGACTTTAGGAGCACAGTTAGGCAAACATTACTGTGAATTACAGAAAATAGTGTCTCTCTTTTTTTTTTTTTTCAGGCACAGATGTTAAAGATGCCAAGGTGATAAGTGTTTCTACAGGAACAAAATGTATTAATGGTGAATACATGAGTGATCGTGGCCTTGCATTAAATGACTGCCATGCAGAAATAATCTCTCGGAGATCCTTGCTCAGATTCCTTTATACACAACTTGAGCTTTACTTAAAGTAAGTTTAGTAAACAAATAAGGACAGGAAGCTATTAAAATATTCTTCTATTAGAAAACTATTGCAAAACCTTTCATTGTTTCTGTAATCATGGAAAATCTCTCAAAATCATAACTTTAGTAACAATAAGGCTGGATCCCATTCTCCCACAATGCTCAAGAAACATATGCACACATACATACAATAACATGACATGGTCATAAATTTCAAGTCTGTGTTTAAGACCATGTGATTTTGTTGTATGCAGTATAAATAGAAGTTCCCAAAATGCCAGGTAAAGATAGTAAGTTTTATTCTAGTCACTATTTCTAGAAAGGCTAGTCATGTGTCCAAACTCCTTTTCTTTCTTTTTTTTTTTTTTTTTTGAGACGGAGTCTCGCTCTGTCGCCCAGGCTGGAGTGCAGTGGCCGGATCTCAGCTCACTGCAAGCTCCGCCTCCCGGGTTCACGCCATTCTCTGGCTTCAGCCTCCCGAGTAGCTGGGACTACAGGCGCCCGCCACCTCGCCCGGCTAGTTTTTTTTTGTATTTCTTAATAGAGACGGGGTTTCACCGTGTTAGCCAGGATAGTCTCGATCTCCTGACCTCGTGATCCGCCCGTCTCGGCCTCCCAAAGTGCTGGGATTACAGGCTTGAGCCACCGCGCCCGGCCCAAACTCCTTTTCTTTACAATGCTATTTTTTGTATGTGATCTTTCTGTTCTGAAGTCATAAATTGGAAGAAGGAAAAGTTACTCACGTTCTGATGACATATCCATTATTGAGTGGACAAGAACTGTATTAATTACCCTAAACATGTAAAATAAATATTCCAGTTCAAACTTATCTTTCCCCTGTTGAAAATACTAGCCTCTGAAAATTATTTTAAACTATGATAGACTAAAATTTAACTATATACAGCTTTCAATGTTACTTTTGCAACTTTTTTCCTTTCAGTAACAAAGATGATCAAAAAAGATCCATCTTTCAGAAATCAGAGCGAGGAGGGTTTAGGCTGAAGGAGAATGTCCAGTTTCATCTGTACATCAGCACCTCTCCCTGTGGAGATGCCAGAATCTTCTCACCACATGAGCCAATCCTGGAAGGTATGAGACGAGATTCTTCAACAAGCCAGTTTCTCAAGAAAATGTATCTGTATGATGTAATTGATAAAAGAACTAACCTATGTTAATATCCCTTTTCCTTTTTTCTCTTTTTATTTTTAGACTTGGATGTGGATCTGATAAGAGTCTCTATAAAAGCATGGACTTTTTTTCTTTGCAATTAATAACTTAATTAGAAAACTTTAATGAATGAATAATGCTGATTGTAATTAACCAAGTAATTAGAATGGAGCGAGAGTATTGGATTAAAATTGTATCTGTATTTAGATTTGGGTAATAAATATCTCTATATCAGAGGTATATGTGATCCTCCATATTTCTGAGGAATTCTAATTTGCTAAATGTGTAATTAAAGTATTTATTTGCCTGATATTTCAGCAGCAGATAGACACTAATGAAAAGTGAAACCGCTATTGTGATCATATTTTTTTCCATCCTTTTTTATATTTGAGGTTAGCACTTTTGTTTTTTAGTGTTTTGTATCCACATCCCTTCTCCCAAGCTCTTAGGTAGTGTTTATTCCAAATGGAACGTTTTATTACATTACTTCCCTTGATTATAAAAGCAACAGGCATACTCACTGTGGAATATTGCTAAATATTTTTAAAATATAAGAAGGAACATTAAAATCACCCATATTCCTATAACCCAGAAATACTCACTATGGGTGTTTTACTATACTTTCTATGGGTTTATTTCTGCATCTGTCTAGATTTATTTTGGAAATTTTAAAAATATAGAGGAAAAAAACATAGCAAACACCCAAGTATCCATCACCCAGAATTAGCAAATGTTAGTATTTTGTGCTATTTGCTTCAGCTCGTTTTTAATGATAGAAATAAATAATTTCAGTTAAAGTGAAAACCCCATTTCCCCAACTCCCTTGGAGACCACTTCTGTGAATTTTGTTTGTGTTATGTTGTTCCTACTCAATTTCATGTAATTGTTTTGTGTTTTTTTTGAGACAGGGTCTCGCTCTGTCACCCAGGCTGGAGTGCAGTGGTGCAATCATGGCTCACTGCAGCCTCGACCTCCTGGGCTCTTAAGCGATCCTTCCACCTCAACCTTCCAAGGAGCTGGGATCACAGGCATGTACCACTATACCTGGCTAGTTTTTGTATTTTTTGTAGAGATGGGGTTTCACCGTGTTGCCCAGGCTGGTCTTAAACTCCTGGGCTCAAGCGATCCACCTGCCTCAGCCTCCCAAAGTGCTGAGATTACAGGTGTGAGCCATCATACTCAGCCTCTCAGTTTCACATACTTATTTTGTATGTGTATTTTGTATGTATGGCATAAACATGTGCATTTATATGCACAAACTATATTTTAAATTTATAAGCTATTGTTAGATGTGCTTTTCAATAAATCAAATAGATGGTTTACTACCTGTGGGGTTTTAACTCTTTTTTCTCTCTTAGAACCAGCAGATAGACACCCAAATCGTAAAGCAAGAGGACAGCTACGGACCAAAATAGAGTCTGGTGAGGGGACGATTCCAGTGCGCTCCAATGCGAGCATCCAAACGTGGGACGGGGTGCTGCAAGGGGAGCGGCTGCTCACCATGTCCTGCAGTGACAAGATTGCACGGTAAGGGGCGAGGGCTCCCTGTGACCACCTCCCTGCACACAACAGGCTGTCTGTGCAGAGAAGCAGCCCGCCATACACTACCCACAAAGCACATGCCAGGCCAGTTAAGGACCTCAGTACGCACAGCAGTGCCTGGCAGTGTTTCTGGTCTCAAGCAGGTTCTTCAATAAGGCACAGAAAACCCAAATTATAAAGAAAAGTGAATAAATTTGACTAAGCTAAAAATTCAAGAATTATTTACTATAACCCACATATTTGGAAAAGAAAAGCCACATATTGGGAAGAGATAATCTGATGTCTCATGTGACCAACAAAGGATTTGACTTAGTTACAAGCTGATTCCTGCACCTGCAAAGCACAAAGCCATCCATTTGGAGGATCCTTGCTGGGGCGTGGGGATGTCACACACATAAATGCAGAAGTCGGGGCTCATGGACCTGAACCCTTAAGCTCCAAGCCTTTTATTATATAGTAACTAGACTTTACCTCAAGGAAGAAACAAACACAAGCTGATAGAACCTAGGACAAGGGATATTCTTAGAAGAGACGTTGGCCGGGCGCGGTGGCTCAAGCCTGTAATCCCAGCACTTTGGGAGGCGGAGACGGGCGGATCACAAGGTCAGGAGATCGAGACCATCCTGGCTAACACGGTGAAACCCCGTCTCTACTAAAAAAAACACAAAAAACTAGCCGGGCGAAGTGGTGGGCGCCTGTAGTCCCAGCTACTCGGGAGGCTGAGGCAGGAGAATGGCGGGAACCCGGGAGGCGGAGCTTGCAGCAAGCTGAGATCCGGCCACAGCACTCCAGCCTGGGCCACAAAAAAAAAAAAAAAAGAAGAGACAGCATGGGTGGGCCAAGAAATAGCAAATGGCCAGAAAAGTTGCCCAGAAAGAGCCCTGGTGGGCCAGTTGGCTGCAGCTGTGTCCCTGCTCTGGGAGAGTGGGGAGTGGGGAGCAGCCACCTTGGAGGGCCAGGTGGATGGGGCTGGGTGAGGCTGACCTGTTTCCCTTATGGAGGGCCCAGGGCCACGGTAGGCTGAGGGTGGGGTGGGAGCCACGGCACTGCCACTGGAGGTCACCAGGTTGTCCGTCCCACTGGCAGGCAGTTTGGCGGTGAACGCAGCCCCAGAGAGTTGTCCGCAGGACCACGGGGTAAGAGGCTCCCATGGGGTTGGCCACCCCTCGGTGATTATGTTGGCGTGGAAGCCATGGGAAGGAACGAGAGTCTTGATTCAGATGACCTCGGCCTCTGTCCTCAGCTGCACAGAGCTGTGGGAACAAACAAGATCATCCAAAGGAGGACCAGCAGCCTGTCTGTTCAGAGTCGGCTATGGCAAGGGGGCTGGACCACTGTGATGGGCAGACTCAAAGGCAGGCACAGGAAGGGGGATGGCTTTATTGTAAGGAAAAAGGGAGGCTTTGGGCATGTTCTGATGGAGGTAGGGGAAACCAGGATGGGCTCTGCAGAAGGTGGCCTCCTGTGCAGCTGTTTGAAGAACCCAGGGGCATCTCTGGCTGGTCCTGGGTTGGAAGCAGGAAAGGGTGGGTGTGGGGCAACCACTAGGAAGCTGTAGTCCTTCCCTCAAAGCCTGGCTGTGGAGGCTGTGGTTTGGGTCAGAGTAGTTCTCCTGCCCTGTGTGGTCTGGCCGACATCTGTCTGCAGCTCAGTCTCTCAGGCCAGGCTGTTTGCTGGATCAGGGGACAGATCAGATGATAGTGCTCTGGACTCTTTTCCTAAATAAATGGCACAAGGAAAATGAAAGATGAGTAAGGCCAGGCACAGATGCCTAGACCCGGGTGCAGTGAGCCTGAGGCCATGCTATGAGAGTGGGGACACCTTTAGGTTCCTCGAGTGTCAGCCAAACACGTCACAGCACGCTGTGAGTGGACACCCTCCATGGGGTCCGCAGGACAGGTGGCTGTGGACGTGTAGTGGGTATCTCTAGAAGATGTCCTGCCCGCAGTTTTTGCAGAGCTTTACTTGTTTTACTTGCATGGATGCTGACTGTGCCTGACGCCCTCTCACTGGCGCTAGGCGATTTCATCCTGATGACGTTTGTCCCAGCTGTCCTTTGTGAGGAGCATTGGTGGGAGCTGGTGCCACACCATTTCCCACCCAGGGCCTCTGCAGAGCTGTAGACACTCCTGGAATTCTCTTACAAAGCATGTGTTCAGAATTAATGACTCCTAACAAATGTAGGTTTTTGCAGGATCACTGCTTTAAAGTTTGCCCTGAAGACTGAATTCAGCTTAAAGATGCTCTAAGTGTGTAGAGGCTTCTAATCTAGAGAAGAAATAGGCCTGTGTTTCTTAGAGGCATTGAATCATTTCATGCTTTTTCTGTAAGTTAGGGAAACCTGCATTTTCATTTCCGTTTTGGAAGGTGGAAGGAACGTGTCATAGGAATTGGAGGATTTGTGCATTCGACACATTTATTGATCTTGTGTGTGTGTCAGGTACATATTGTGAGTGCTGGGATAGGTCAGTAAAGAAAGCCGACAGAAACCTCTTCCCGTGCTGGGGTAGGATGGGACGGATAGCCCGACATGGACCTGTAAATTACATGAAGGTCAGAATCGGGGTGGAGGGCTGGGGCGGCAGGGAAGGGAGGCCTCAGGCAGCAGGTAAGCAAAAGGCTTGAGTGGCTGGCTCTCTCTCTCTCTCTGGCCTCTCTCTGCCGTCTGAATACCGCCCCATCCCTCATCAGGATCCTGGCTGCTCAGGGGCCCCTGCCCTGCCCCTCTGCCCTGGCTGCCCTTACTGCTGTCCTGCGTCCCCTGCCCCCTAGGTTGGGACATGTCTTCCTCCCTCAGCCTCACAGCCCCCTCCTTTGGGGCTGAGCTTCAGGGTCACCCCAGGAGCATTCCTTGAAGTTCATACACCCCTTTTTCTTTTTCACAGAACCCTGCCCTTTCTTCCAAATTGATTTTACCTCAATTTATGGTTCTTCGTTTGTCTTTTCATTGCATTATTGTTTAGCTCCTAGGCTGTGTCTCCCCCCAGTACCTCACACTATGTGTATATAGTGCCCAGCAAAGGGTGCTGTGGACACAGCAACTCCCAGGCTGAGCAGAGCATGCTGTTTGCGGGGCTCAGAAAGAGAAAACAGGCGTATTGTGAAGGCATGTGTGTGCTGGAGCTGATAACGAATACCTAAGTTGCCATTGGCGTGCATAGTTGGTGTCGTGCATGTCAGCTGCACATATTCAGCCGCTGTAAACCCCACACCCTCTCTCCCTGTGCATTCAGTGCCATTGTCACTTGCAGAGAACAGGAAATAAGCAGTTGAATGTCTTGAAGGGCTCCTTGAAGAGCTATCATTTTTATAAGAAGTATAGTGGTCCCTGCTTTTCCGCAGATGTGTCTCAAGACCCCCAGTAGACTCCTGAAACTGTAGACAGGACTGAACCCTGTACGTGCTGGTATTTCTCCTGTAAGTACATTCCTATATAAAGTTTAACTTATAATTAGACACAGTAAGAGATTAACAACAGTCATTAATAATAAAATAAGAGTGACTTGAGCGCAAGCACTGTGATGCTGCGACCATCAATCTGGTCACCAAGGTGACTGCTGACGGGCCAGTGGCATCTGCAACGTGGATGGTTCACACCCTGGGCTGGGCGGCGCAAGATTTCATCACACTCCTTAGAGCAGCATCCAATTTAAAGTCTGGAAGTGTTTATTTCTGGAATTTTTTCATTTAGTATCTTCAGATCATGCTTAACAGTGGGTAACTGAAACCTCTGAAAGTGAAACCTCAGATAAGGGGACCTGCTGTAATGAAATAAATACGTAATTTCCTTTCTGATATTTCCCACAACTTTCTCACAAGAAACACACATGGCTCATTGATTATGGGAAACGTAATGGTAAAGAAAATCACAGCGTAAAATAACTTTTAAGTAGATTTTTGTCTTTGCGATCGTAAGCTGCTAAAGCAGTCTATTACTTTTGTTGCGCTCCTTCGTCAGTTGGTTGGGATCCTGCAGAATTGTCAGTGCATCCCTGTAACCACTCAGGCTTGGACTGGGCCGCGTCGGCACTGAGTCCGAGCTCCCTGAAGACTGTGCTTTCTTCTCCCTCCAGCTGGAACGTGGTGGGCATCCAGGGATCCCTGCTCAGCATTTTCGTGGAGCCCATTTACTTCTCGAGCATCATCCTGGGAAGCCTCTACCATGGGGACCACCTTTCCAGGGCCATGTACCAGCGGATCTCCAACATAGAGGACCTGCCACCTCTCTACACCCTCAACAAGCCTTTGCTCAGTGGCAAGTATCTCTGGAGTGTGCTGATTTAATCTGTCTTGATTTTGCAATGTTTTCATCCTCATGAATGAAAAAAACACCACCTGAGCTGCTCTGTGGCTATCAGAAGAATATGAGAGTCCTTCTAAAGGGACCCAAGGTGATGTTTCTGGATCTCTCCGGGCCTTGTCTCTAGGGCCTTTTAAGTGAGTCCCTCTGCAAGATTAATCTCCTTTACCGATCACAAACCTAGCCATTCATAGAGGAATTGATGGGCTCGCACCTGTCATCCCAACACTTTGGGAGGCCAAGGCTAGTGGACTGCTTGAGCCCAGAATTTCAAGACCAGCCTGGGAAACATGGCAAAAGCCCATCTCTACAAAAATACAAAAAAATCAGCCAGATGAGGTGGGGCACGCCTATGGTCCCAGCTACTTGGGAGGCTGAGGTGGGAGGATCACCTGAGCCCAGGAGGTCAAGGTTGCAGTGAGCCAAGATTGCACCACTGCACTCCAGCCTGGGCAACAGAGTGAGATCCTGTCTTAAAAAAAAAAAGAAAGAAATGAAAAATGAAAAGAATGAAATTATGACTGGTCTGGGCAGCTGTCTCTTTTCCTCTCAGTCAGGCAGTGTGTTCATTCCTGTCTCAGCGGCAGAGACTCACAGACACTGAAAATTATGTCAGCATTGGCTTTCCCAGACTCACCCTGAGCCAGTTCTCCTGCACGTTTACGCTGTCTTGGAGCCACCAGGGTGTCCACAGTGATGAGCTGCCTGGAGCCTGCCGTGGGCTCCCTGGAGAGGCCCTGCTGGCTCCGAGAGGTAGTGACCGTGTAACCAGGGGCGCCAACGCCAGGCAGAGGTTGTCTCCCTGGTGTCTGCACTACCCTCAATGCCCTTCATTGCTGGTTTTCTTTTTTCTTTTTTTAGAATTTCAGTGGCTAACAGTAAAGTGAACAGGAACTTTTGAATTCAAAGGTCCTAACTTCTAAGCTCACCTTTATTTAAAAGGACACAGTTAAGGTATTTTTATCTTTTTAAATGTATAATTTTACTACTTTTTTAAAAGCTCAAAACTAAAACCATAATCCTAACCTGAAACACGTTTATTTTGCGGGGGGTGTGCGTGTGTGTGACGTTTATTTTGGGGGATGTGTGCGTGTGTGTGTGCTGCCTTGTTTTCTAGTGCTTGGCTACTAGCACGCCTTTTATTTGAGAAAAAGCAGTGTGGAATTTTATTTGAAAGCATGCCTGTCAGAGCACATGAAGGAGGCAGGGATGGGGAAAAACAGTTGCCTTGAATTAAATTTTACAGCTCCCTAACTTAACCATTGTGTTTTAAGAAAAACGAAATAGACAGATCAAACCTGATGGTAGGTAAGTTGAAATTGTAGCACCAATCAGTGTCTTTTGAAGTATTTTGTTGTGTGTTGGTGTGTGAATTTCTCATGATTCCAAAAATTTCCCTCTTTGTTCTCTATCTTCTGTAGTTGAGGGAAGAGTGCTTTAATTTTAGCTGTCACTCACCTTTTATATGCATAGATACTTAAAACATTGCATGTGGAATATGGGACACATAGGTGATACTCAAAAATAGTTGTTAATTAGGGCCTCGTTGAACAGTGCTGTCTAAGCAATATCTCATCCATAACTAAAATCTGCAAAGGCAGAATCATTTTGCTAAAAAAATTTTCTAAGATATTGAAAGTGGAGCTCATTTATAAAAGTCAGTGTATTTTTATCATATTTCACTTATGTGAAAAGCATTTATATCTGTTAAAAGACCTTGAAAAATAGTGTCTGCAAGATAGAGACTTCGGAGTTGCTGATGCTGCTGTTTATCCTTTCCTCCTCAATATCTTCTCTAATTTTTTTTTTTTTTTTTTTTTTTTGAGACAGAGTTTTGCTCTATCGCCCAGGCTGGAGTGCAGTGGCGCGATCTTGGCTCACTGCAACCTCCGCTTCCCAGGTTCAAGCAATTGTCCTGCCTTAGCCTCCCAAGTAGCTGGGATTACAGGCGTGTGCCACCACGCCCAGCTAATTTTTGTATTTTTAGTAGAGACGGGGTTTCACCATGTTGACCAGGCTGGTCTTGAATTCCTGACCTCAGGTGATCTGCCCACCTCGGGGTCCCAAAGTGTTAGGATTACAGGGTGAGCCACCATGCCTGGCCTCCATCATCTCTAATCTTAATAGCCTAAAGCACATAACCAAACCTCTCCCCTGGTCCCTGCTGCAGGGGGCTGTGCCAAGCTGATTCAGCAGCAGCAGAGAGAGCCTGGGTCAGAGCCGTGAGGCTGCCCCTGTGTCAGCTCTGTCTCCTTGGCAGCTTCTGTGTCTTGGGTTCTTCATACGCCCAGTGGCAGGGTACCCCTTGCAATCCTTCTGGACAAATGTGCCACTGTCCTATGAAAATAAAAGGACACCACACAAGCTCCAGGAGGCAGAACGTTACTCAAATGCTGAGCCAATAAACAGTGTCACTCTAGCACCAAAGTCTATTTCAAAATGCAAACTATTTGAAATATCTTATTTTTGGTAAATGCTTTATTTTGGAAATGGGTTTTTGTTGTTGTTTCCCTGAAGAGAGTTCAGATGAGCAAAGCAAGTAGCTTTGGAGAAGACACCTTTAGACCAGGACTCCTGTCAATCAGCAGGACAGCATAGCAGGAAATTCGGTGAGCCGGGGGATGGAGCAGGATGGGAGGGCAGATGCTTCTGCTTCAGAATTGAAGTCAAAAGCAAGCAATGCTATGGGTGTTACTGGAGACAAAAGGAACCAAATAAGAGAAATCTGGAGAGGCAAATGTTGATGTCTTAATAGATTTGGGAGGTCACACTCTTTAAAAATGGGTCCCAAAGCAAAGCCCTCAAAACTTTATTAAAAGGAAAGTCTTACATTTAACAAGTGACCTGGAAAGAGGAGCTACCAGGGCATTGGCCCCCTTGCTGTGCGTCACAGCTCACGTTGTGTGTGTTACACTTTGTCACCTCACATTTTATTATAAGGGTCATTCCCATGTTAAAAAGAGAGCGAGGTATGATGGCGCCTAGCGAATTGTAGCGTCTTTAGGGAGGAGCAAAAATTGACATAAACAAATACAAAGAAAAGATTACCTGAAACCGGGAGCAAATCAAAGTAAAAATGTAGGGATAGGGTGTTTCTTTCTCTTAAAAAAATAATGCTGTCAGGATTAAAGTGAGAAGAATTTAATTTTCATTTCAGCCTGAACACTAGTTTTACTTTCAGAAAGGTTCTTGGTGCCAAGCTGTGAAACTTTTGCCTTTGTGGGTTTGCACACTTGGTACCCTTGCTTAGCACTGTGGAAACGGAAGTCTCTTGAGCTTTCTTCAATTTTCTTTCGAATGAGTTTCACATCCAGCACTTGCAAGCTGGACAGTTCCAGCTTCTAATTTATGTCCATTGATCCCCTGAGTGTGAGCTCCTCAACTGGCCCAGTTTGTTATCCAAGACTCACTAAGAGAACCTAAGAAGAAGGAGCAGGGTGCCCAAATGCCCCATGTGATGTCTCTGGGGACCTTGTTGACAGCCTGCTCTAGGGTCATCCGACAAGGCTCCCTATCCTGCCGGTTTTCGTGTTGAACGTTGGCATGAAACGTTAAACAAGGCTGCTTGATGGGGGTAGGGTCCTCGTGAACAGCTTGCATTTCAGTATCTCTCGGAGGACAGCACAGGTACCCGACGGGGCTGGCAGCAGGCCCAGGTGTGTGGTGGGAAGGAGGCAGGTGCCTGCAGAGCTGCTGTCCATCCAAGACCATTCAATATCATGGGCAGGAAGAGCAAGGCAAGCTGGTTTGATGAGGCCCTGGCTGAAGTGAGAGAGAAGGAACATCACTGTGAGAGTGTGTGAGAGTGTGAGAGTGTGTGTGTGCATAAGTGCGTGTGTGTGAGTGCATGTGTGTTTATGTGTGTGTGCGTGTGTGTGCTTGTGAATGCGTGAGTGTGTGTGTATGTGTGTGCCTGTGTACGCATGTGTGAGAGTGGGTGTGTGGGGGGGGTGTGTGTGCGAGTGTGTGTGTGTATGCATATTCTCCAGGTAAGAGCGGTCATCGGGGTTGTGGGAAAGAGGTGTTGGTAATGTCAGTTTCCTCCTTCCCTGGTTTCTAGGAGGAGTGAACGTGCCATAAGTCATTGTAAAAGAGGACGACCACCAAGCTTGGCTCCAAGTACAGAATCATTCTTTTCAGCTGACAGTTTTTCTTTCCATTTTACTTTCTGTTTTCCTCCCCTTTACTTTTGCTGGACTGATTAAATTGTCTTTCCCCTTTCTTCCCACTGGTGATTTGGAAGTTCTAAACCTTATTTCTATTTTGACCAGTGGTCACCCCAATTTTTTAAAATAAATATGTTTAAATCACTTTGAAAAAATGTTGGCATCAAGAATTAATATTTGTAAAGATCCAAACTTGGGAAAAGGTGAAATATTGGGCTCATTTTTATTCCACACTCTTCCCATCCTCGTCTTCCTAGATTCTGATGACATCATCTTCAGTTTTGGAAACTCATTTAATACTGTGCTTTTTCTTGTTTTTTTTTTTTTTTGAGGCGGAGTTTCGCTCTCTCGCCCAGGCTGGAGTGCAGTGGCCGGATCTCAGCTCACTGCAAGCTCCGCCTCCCGGGTTCATGCCATTCTCCTGCCTCGAGACTCCCGAGTAGCTGGGACTACAGGCGCCCGCCACCTCGCCCGGCTAGATTTTTGTATTTTTTAGTAGAGACGGGGTTTCACCGGGTTAGCCAGGATGGTCTTGATCTCCTGACCTTGTGATCCGCCCGTCTCGGCCTCCCAAAGTGCTGGGATTACAGGCTTGAGCCACCGCGCCCGGCCCGTGCTTTTTCTTTAAAAGCCTTTCTTAATGAGTCACAAGCCACATGATCAACAGCTGTTCGGATGAAAATGTAAGGGCTCCTGGTTTCTCTCCTGACCAATTTTCTGTAGCCGTTGCCCCTGCCCTTAACTCCACATCCAGATTTATTTTTCACTCTGCTGGAATACATCCTTAAT